AAGGAATACATTAATAACTCATTCTTTAAAAACAAAACACAGTCCAAACTTTATACCCGAGCCTTCTCCCACCTTGTAGAATCATTGAATTCTAAGTATTCCTGTCCATCTTCCTTCCTCTGAGAAAGAGCATGTGCCTCCGAAAAATACATTCCCTAGGAGTCCAGAAGTGGAGAGGTTTGGGTGCTCACTGTTCAAGGCCACTTAGTGGACCTGAGCCTTAACAAGTTGGAGCTTGTTAATATTCACTGACCATTTACAAGGTGACATTCACCGTTTATAGTACAGGAGACTTGAGACTCTTACTCAACTCCCCTAACCCTCAGCATTTTCTTCTGTGAAACTGGCAATGATAAAGCCTACTTCATAAGCTTAAGCCTGCATATTAGAAGGGATGACATATATAAAGCACTTAGCACATACTCTGACCCACAAAATACAGATTCGTAGGACAATGGTTAGAGTATAGCAGAGCCTAGTGATGCTGAAGGTTGACTCCCATCCTACTGATTCTCTCTCAGGCTTCTAGAACACCTTGACTAAGGCCTTAGACCCTGGATCTTAAGGGAAAGCTAAGTCTCTGCTGGAAAGACTTGATGTACCTTGCATTTTTATTCCGTGTAGGTAGAAATTAATCTCTTCCCCCTGTCTTACATTGTGAGCTGGCCGTTCCCATCTCCTGATCTCTAGCCCCCAGATCTCTTGTGTTAGTTTCCCTCTCATAGTTCCTGCCCAGGTCATATTTCACAGTTCTGTTTTTTTCACAGCTGCTCTAAATTAATTCAAAATTTCCCAGGTTTTCTTTCAGGCCTTATTTTGTCTTCTCCAACACTTCTCTGAAACTGTAAGCTTTGGGTGGCGCAGTCGGTTAGGCGTCCGACTTCAGCCAGGTCACGATCTCGCGGTCCGGGAGTTCGAGCCCCGCGTCAGGCTCTGGGCCGATGGCTCGGAGCCTGGAGCCTGTTTCCGATTCTGTGTCTCCCTCTCTCTCTGCCCCTCCCCCGTTCATGCTCTGTCTCTCTCTGTCCCCAAAAAAATAAATAAACGTTAAAAAAAAAATTAAAAAAAAAAAACCTGTAAGCTTTGTCCCCAAACACTCGGGCTCCACGTTGATTCTTCTATTTTCCACACTTCTTACCCTAAACAATTACATGAGCATAAGTGAGCTTCTAAACATAGGTGGGTGGAAAGTTGGATGGAAAGTTGGGATATGTATGTGTTATTCATTCATTCATTCATTCATTCCTCATACACTACTTATTGAACACTGTCAGTATTTTTTTAAATTTCAGAGGATATGTATATCAATAAAAAATACTTCCTGTCCTCAAGAAACTTAATCTGAAGGAAGTTACACAAACATTTTAGTAAAATATATCATAAAGTTTATAATAAATCAGTGGTTCTCAACATTGGCTGCGCATTAGAATTACCTGGATTCATTAAACAGAGAAGCCTGATCCCAGCCCGGACAGGTGTAATCAAGCTCCCTGAGGAGGGCCTGGGAATTGGTGGATTTGATAGCTTTTCTGGTGACTCCATTGCTCAGCCAGGTTTGAGAATCTCTTGGACAGAGAGAAGCATGGGATGTTTTGAGAACACAAGGAAGAAGCTCTTATCCTACCTGATGAGCTACCAAAGGCTTCCAAGGGGAGACAGCACAGTTCAATCTTAGCAGGGGGGCTGTCCAGCTGAACATACGAGAAAGATCATTTCCAAGCACAAAGGAACAAGGTGAGTTCATAGAACTGCAAATAATTCTGAATAGAGCTTAGAGACTGCTAAAGTATTTGGACTCTATCTGGCAATGAAAGGGGAGCCATTGAAGGACCATAGCAGGGAAATTGTATGATTAGTCTCAGGCACATCTGAAAGGCCAAGACATCAACTGGGGAGGGAATTTTACTTTCATCGTAACTTTACTCCCGCAAGAACTATCTCCCCTTTAATAAAACCTTCAAAACTGTTGGCACCTCCCTTGGTTTCAGACATTACAAACAGGAAACTCTACCCATGAGCTAACCTTTGCCCCATCCTTTCCTGAAACAAAGAACAGCTGTTCTCCCACTTGGATATGCCTGGAGTAAAGGAGGGCCCCTTGGTATTCTCAGCTGACTGCAAATAAATGACTGGGCTTCACACAGATTAGTCACCGGTACATGCAGATGACTGCAGAGTCAAATGCATAAAAACATTTTAGTTTTTAAAAGTGTTTTGTCTCTGATAGGGTGCTGTCACCAATGGGGGGCGGGGCAGGGATCATAGCTGCTAGAGAGGAAATAAAATTCATTCCCTGGAAGAAGAGGGTCTGAACTTTATTAAAAAAATGGAGGCGTAATGATACTTTGAGCGCTCTTCCCTTATTTTCAGTACATCAGCCGGTTCACTCATCAACCAAGCCTTTGGAGTTGCTTTAGCTTTGTTTGTGGTTGTGGATGTTACGTCGTTTTTCGTTTGGGCTTGATTTTTTGCTTTAAATCTAAGATACACTATCAGTTTAATGACAATATTTCAGGGCAGAAGACGAGGAAGAGAAAGGAGAAGGGGAGAGGAAAGAGGAAGAGGATGAAGAAGAAGAGGAAGAGGGGAAAAAAGGAGGGGGGAAGAGAAGGAAAGATTAAATTTGCAGTGTTTTGACTGTACAATACTCTGATTCTAAAAAGGTTGAAATATACGTGTGGGGGCAGGGATGGGGAAAGGGTCGCCCTGTAATAAAAATGCCCAGGAGGAAAACCAAAGATTGTTAAAGGAACTAGGAATTGTACTATCAATGGCTTCCAAAGCTTTGGAAGACAGAGAAATCTGAGGCCCAGAAAGACTGGGAGATTTGCTTCAGGTTCTAGAAGGCGTTACTTGATAATGAAGTCAGAACCAGAAACCTTAATCTCTCAACCTCAACTTTGGTTTGCTTTCCATGGAATACTCCAAAAAATTTCTGAGAAGACAAAAATAGTGGCATGATTTCTCCTCGTATTTATAGCTGAGGAAAGTAGTCAGAGATTAAGAATGCAAATAGGGAAAATATATCATAACTAAGTATAGGCTCGCAAAGCAACAAGCGAAAGACCGTGGCCCTCCATTCTCAGAGCCCTTTTGTTAATTTACTGAATGGCTGTTATCTTGAATCTGTGACACTCGCATATCAAATTGCGTTCAAAATGACTGGTTTTACTCGTTCTTTGGTTCCTAAGGCTAATTATTATATTTAACACCTTTTGATATGCTAAGTGAGGCTAATAAGAGCTGGATTCCTCATGGGTTTATTAGTCATCACCATCATCTCACATATGTAAATTTTTTGCTACTTTCAAAGTGTCAATAAATGATTATATTTGAGCCTTATAAGAACATCATAATGCAGCTTTTACCTTAGTATAAATCTATACTTAATTGGCAGAATGCTGCTGAAACATACGGTATCGGACCACATCGTTTCAACTCCTTCCTGTGTCACTCGCCGGCTATGTAGCCTTGAGTAAGCTCCTCAACCCATTCTGTGCCTCAGTGCCTCATCTGCAATATGTAGCCATAGGAATGGCTGTCACATGCACCTGCTTTGAAAACTGCATAGGGTACGGGCTCAGTCGGTTGAGCCTCTTGACTTCAGCTTAGGTCATTATTTCATGGTCTGTGAGTTCGAGCTCTGCGTCACTGCTGTCAGTGTCTCCTGCTCACGCTCTCTTTCTCAAATATGAATATATATATATATATATATATATGAATTGCATGCAGTCATCCACACAAAGTAAGTCACCTGCTATATTCTAACTATCCTATATTGTTAGCTACACTACCCATTCATAAATGATATATGGCGGGCCTCTAGCAACTCACAATTAACGAATGCTGATTATGTACCAAATATTCTTCTAACAATTTCATAAGTGGTAACTCATTTAATGTTCATAATGACTGTTTGAGGTAGGAACAATTATTACTATCTCTGTTTTACAAATGAGAAAATTGAGACACAGAAAAAAGTCACTTGTCCAAAGTCTCACAGCCGACAGATTGTAAAGCCCACACTCCAGCTCAGTCTGGTTCTAAGCTCTGCTTTGCTGCCTTCTGGGACGGGCTGTGTGAGGCACAGAGGCAGTGAAAAGCACACAGTCCTGCCCTCAGGGAGCTTACTGAAAACCAATGCAGTGTGATGAGCCCTGAGAAAGGCAAGCCCTCTGCACGGTGGTGGCACAGAAGAGAGAGTTCTGAACTCTTCCTGGGAGCTTGGAAAAGTATCCACCAATTCCAGCCCTCCTATTATTCAGACACCAAGCCAAGAATCCCAGTGTTACAAAACCTCACGGTCCTTCCCATGACCCTTGGTACCCTCTGCTGAAAACTCACACCCAGATTCCAGGTCCCTGATCATCTTTATATACCAGCTCAGTCATTTTCATGATAACCTTTCTAACGTCCTAAATTTCCTCTCTGTGGGTTGCCAAGCAAATACATTCTTGGCACTCAGCGAGAACTCCTGTTCAAAATGCCACACATTACAAAGTCGATGATTCAACACACATTTCTTGAGCGCACCCAACCCGTAAGTTGCAGTGCTAGAAATGAATTCACACTCCTTTTATGCTACCATGCCATCTTTCCCGAGAGTGAGACCTGTGTTTCTTCCGTGCCTACTTTCTCATATGTATATTATGATTTCTGCTATTGCAAAACAGGACGTTGTTTAACCAAGTTCTTATGGGAGGAAGCACGGCCCAGCAAGCAGAACAATGATTTGAAAGTCCTGGGTTCTATTTTCAGCTCCAGTGTTGACTGGCTGTGCATTCAGCCCTAGGAAGGTCAAAAGCAGAATGGCCTTGTGTCGATGACTTTTTCTGTATGTACAGCTCTGGATGGAAAACAAATCAGGCATCTGGCTCTCAGCCTTGAAGAGCTATGGTCTTTGGAGAATAGATGTGTAGTCACACTTTGTTTTCCTTTTTAAAGCAAAAGAACAGAACAAACTCTCTGGGGGGGAGAATGCGCTGGCAGAAACTAGAAGAGAGAAACCAAATAACGTTTGAAACAATCTGGGGGTTAAGGGATTGTCTCAACCATTCAGATCAAAGAAGGCTCTTCAGGGTAAGTTGGAGTTGCCTGCCTTTGAAAATGGAAGGGGCTAAGGTGTGAAAGATTTCTCCGAACTTGGACAACAGTAGGAGTCCAGAACGCCGTCTGTAAGGGCAGCAAGAATGCCAGTGGGTAAGTCTTGTGGGCAAACTGGGAAGCACAGGCTTGCTCGAGAGCGGTCTGCTGCTCCCCAGCACCAGCTGCTTGTCATGTGGAGAAGTAGGCCATTGTTGCCTGAATAGCTGAGCCTTTAAGAGAAATTAAACAGAAACTTGTCGTTAAAGCTCTTGGTTTTTAAATGATGGAACCTAGTCAACTTTTAAAGAGGCACTGAGTAGCCAAAGCCAAGCATATCGTATGCGGGCAGTGTGCTTTCCATGTCTCTTCCACCTGCAGAGGGGATGCCTGGACGTGAGGCAGAGAGTTGACATTCAGTATGAACTGCCTTTTCTTTTTATAACTGACACTCCTAACTCTAGTATCATTTCTCATGGTTTAATGTGTTTGGGCTCATTTGGAGCCAACGCTGACAATGGAAGATGGCCGAGCAAACAAAGGTATTGTTGTAAACGTCAAACACAATCAAAGCCAAAGGACGAGAACAAGCCCTAGCATGGGTAAGTATTTATAGGGGAAATTAATTTGTTGTCTGATGGCCATGAACTGGGCAGTAGAGCAAAGTGAGCCTTTTACAAGCGATATTCCATCTCCGTCCGCATTCTAATGGTTGTAAAACTCACCATATGAAGCTAATAATTGGTGCATAAACCTAATACTTTCCATTTTTTTTCTCTTATTTTGTAGGCTTTACGCATTATAAAAAACATGATTAAGTCCTGGCGGTTATACTCCTGGCTGGTTCTTATTTCAGCTTTGGTTCCTCTTGCTCATTCCTCATAAAAATTATTAGTGTGGATTGTGTACATTAAGTCATCTTCAATGGGAAATTAAATGGGGCAATTTCTCTCGTCTAAGTGTTTCCGAAGAGGCCCGATATAGGTGGTGCCAACGAGCCTCACAAAGCTAGGTGGTGGCTTACCTATTGAAGGGGACTCCTGAGAGGTTATGGAGGCATTCCACCCACGTTACCACACTGGCAATCTCTAACCCATCAAGCAAGACTTTAAGGAAGCTGGCACTGAGGATTACTTGGAAGTCATAATCAATTTAGTAAGTGCCCTCATCCTCATTCTCCAATGCCATTAGATGCGTTTCTTCCATAACACAAACCAAAAGAGAGATATGTCAGTGAAACCACTGGGAGAGTTTGATATGTCTTCTGGACTTTATGAGACATAGGAACTGATGTCTGACTCATACTTGAAAACACAGAGGACTGTGGCCTGAACTACTTTTTTCTGGGGTCTACGACCAAGATATATTAGGAGTAATTAGCACTTCCAGAATTTGGTGGGGCAAATAAAGACCCTACTTAAGAAAGGTGGATTGGGTCATCATGGGAAAGATTGTCTGGAAGGGTGACATGACCCCATGAGTGGGGATGTGCCACTAGAAGCCAAGAGAACGAAGAAGACATAACTGGCTAGTCTGAGAAGCCTTAACTACAGTCAGCAGAGCAATTACTGCACGACATCCTATAATGTAGACAAAGGGAGGTATCTTAAAAAAAAAAACAAAACACCTCACCAAATGTCCCACGAGAGCAAAGTCAAACTACATTCAGAGTCCACTACATTCAAAGGATCACAACAGATTTATAATAACACAAGTCGGGGCACCTGGGTGGCTGAGTCAGTTAAGCGATCGACTTCGGCTCAGGTCACGATCTCACAGTTCGTGGTTTCGAGCCCTGCATCGGGCTCTGCGCTGACAGCTCCCAGCCTGGAGCCTGCTTTGGATTCTGTGTCTCCCTCTCTCTCTGCCCACCCCCTCCCCCTTTCTCTCTCCCTCTCTCTGTCTCAAAAATAAACATAAAAATTTATAATAACAGGGGCATCTGGGTGGCTGAGTCGGTTAAGCGACCGACTTCGACTCAGGTCATGATCCCAAGGTTATGGGTTCGAGCCCCACGTCAGGCTCCATGCTGACCGCTCAGAGCCTGGAACCTGCTTCAGTTTCTGTGTCTCCCTCTTTCTCTGCCCCTCTCCTGCTCACGCTCTGTCTCTCTCTCTCTCTCTCTCAAAAATAAATAAAACATTTTTTTAAAAATTATAACATGAGTCAAGTTTACTCCACTTTTCCATCTTCCCCTTGCTTGCCCAACTTTCCCTGTCTCTGGAGAGAAAAGAAACCACAGTCAGGGAAGGGGGCAACAATACAAAGAGAAGGAAGTCAGGAAATCAGCCTGGCCCCTTCTCCTAGTCCCAGATTTCCAACACGAGTGATAACAGAGCTGTGAGAGGAGACGGCTAAGGTTTATATGGATTAGACTTTCTACTGCACCAGATTTTTCACTACCTTAAAAAAAAAGTAGGGCTTGGGGATTTGTTTTGTTTTAATTTATCACCTGTTGGTAACTAGGAAAGCCAATGGAGAACTTCCCAGAGTTGTACTGGTTAGTGGAACCTGGGGGTTGAAGGTGAATATCAGTTTTGGAGGGGTAGGAGCAAACTAAAAGTTGCTTTCTACTTGTTACCTACCAAGTCCAGCTCAGACAATAAACAGGTTTAACTTGGATATTTTTTCTACAAATAAAAAATATATATTTTTTCGGATTCAATGTAACAAGGGTGTGATGTGAACTCACAGTCATCTCTTCAAATTCTTGTCTTTACCATCAGCTTTGCCTCCTCAAAAATATGTGGGGTTACAGCAGAATTTCTGCAGGAGGCTGACAGGTATCCGCTGAAAAACAGTTCAAAGATATTGGTGAAAATCCAGTTGACTCAAAAAAAATAAAGTTTTCTTGCTGTAGGTCTTTTAGGAATCTTTAACAGGCTAATATGTGTTGTGAATTTACAAAAAAAAAAAAAAAAAAGGACTTTGGATATAGAATTTCCAAACTCATTTGTCCACGGAATGTTTTCATTTCCCAAACCTCAGGCTTTTAGTCAATAAATATTTGCTGAACACCTAGCGTGTACAGGCATGAGGGATAGGTGTTGGAGATTAACTGAATACATCAGACATGGTCCCTCCTCCAAAGTCCCTGAAAGATCTTATATTCTAATGGGTTGCTTATTTTAGCCCTTGTTCTTTAGAATTTTCTTTAAAAAGATTTGTTCTATGCCATTTTTCCACATTTCTGCCACTGAAAAGCTATTTGTTAACACAAATATACAAATCACCTGGGCACATATTTGCCTTGTAAGAGAAATTTGTTTATATAAAACATTTAAAAAATGTGCATTCACAACCAAGCACGACAAAAATGCTCTGGTCACCTTTTCTCCCCGTCGTTGGTCAGTTTTAGCTAAGAATGGAAACCCTTGATAAAGCACAAAGCCATCTGCCTCTTTGCTCTTTTCTCCCTTGATTTGATTCCTTCCCCTGTACCAGACATCAAATCCCCACATTTTATTTTTCCTCTGCTCACTCAGGAAAGATCTGACATCAGCTATTTGAATTTGGTCTTCCCGTGAGGCATTTCCACAGAAGTTAAAGTTATGTGTTATCTTGTTATCCCAAGAGATCGTCTCATCCGGGTATTTCTTAGGCTATGGCTCTTCTCTATTCCCAACTGATTACATCAGTTAATCATGGCACCTGAATCTTGATGAATTATATTAAAGAAAACATGGAGGATGTAAATACACTTTTCCTGGATCCTAGGTAAAATTTGATGATGCCCAGCTTTCTGTGTAAGGGTTAGTAGGAACTTTGTGCCTGAGTAGCTGTGAACATGTCAGATGTCAAAGGACATGTCCCACTGGGCCTAGACACAAAAGGGACTTCCTCTTCCCTTCTGGTCACTACAAATTTCATGGGAATTTCCATTACGGGGAGAGACCCAAATATCCTAGCCACTATACCCTGAAACGCGATCTTGTGCTCCACATCCTCTGTGACTTGCTAACTCTTTCCTTCCAAATTTGTCACAAACTACCAGATTCTCAGCCCAATGAGCATGGATCTTGGATCTGGGGATCTTATCCATGAATCCTTGTGAGCAAGATCCAAGAATACGTGCTGAGTCACAGTAGTTGATTTCACAGTTATTTGGATTATCAAAGTAAATTTAGAGAAAGTATTTTATCAATTGTTTTAGGACCTTGTCCTGTTCAACATATTTCTCAAATATATCACAACTCCTTCCACCTAGAGCCATCACATATATCACCATTTGTGTCTAGGCCATCATCATCGAAGACCGCAATAATAGGTCTCAACTGGTCTTCCCAATTTTACTTTTGTCCTCTCCAATTTTTCACACAGAAGAATAAATGACCCTAAAAATAAATCAAAGTTCCCTCTTCTGGCCAAAACAGAGCAACAGGAACAACTTGAAACAATTAGACTATTGAAGTATGTGTGTGTGTGTGTGTGTGTGTATTTATATATCTCACAATTTTCAGATATTGACGCAAATGTAGTACAAGACTGTGATCCCCCAAATAAGGAAAGTCAACTGTTAAGCATATTTTTTTATCTTCAAGTTTGATGTCTCTCTATTGTATATATACATTATAATATATATGATATAGTCTAATACATACTATATCATATATATGTACATATGTATACGTTGTATATGTATTACATAAATTACATATGAGATACATACACACACACATATATATATGTACACACACACATAGACAAATTCTTTATTAATCTAAAATCAGAATTCTCCATTGTCCTAGTATGTTGGAGAACAGTTTGGAGATCAGCCTTTGCTATTGTCATCTCTGAAAATTGTTCTATCAATGAAATGATCCACCATGAAGGACATCTGTGGAAACACAGTCTGTGACTATAGCCCATGAATAATTTCCACTTGCTCCTGCCAGTCTTTCAAGCTACGTGTCCTTGAGTCACAGAGACATGGATGGGCAGCTGAGGGTATCACAGCATATTCCACGGCTACCATAACTCGCTCCAGTGTTAATATCTGCTCACACAAATACATCCAGCCTCCCCAAAACATTATGCAATAACACTCGCATTCTTTCCTTGAGACGCCCAATGCGACTCTCTCCAAGCACTAAGTAGTGAAGAGCACTGAATGCCTGACTCCTATTCTAGGAGAGCAACACACGTACTCTGTTATCTTGGGCAAGTCACTTTTGGATCCTGTTTTCCCACTCTGGATCTTCATTTTTTTTCCAGCTGTTAAATGGAAGGGAGGAAGCGCCCCCGATGTCCTTCTCTCCCACACAATTGACAACTTTGAGTGCCTTATCAGTGTGACCCCTCCATTTTCAGCTCCCAGTCTCCATGAAGGTAAAAGCCAGATCACAGTATTTATCCACTCCAAATCCTCCAATGGCTCCCCATTTCACTAGAATGAAACCTTAAGTCCTTACAATGACCTATAAGGCCCCACAACATAATTTTCCCTCACACCCTCTGCTCAAACTCCTGTTATTTTGCTGACTATATCTACGACTCTTCCCCTCTATATTAATTTGCTAGGGCTGGCATAACAGGATACCACAGAATGGGCGATTAAAACAACAGACATTATTTTCTCACAGATCTGGAGGCTGGAAATCCAAGCAAGATCAGAGTGTCACCGGGTTTGGTTTCTTCCGAGCTGTCTCTCCTTGGCTTGCAAATGACTACCTTTTCGCAATATTCCTCACGTGGTTTTCCCTCTGGTGTCTTGGTGTGTGCCCAAATTTTCTCTTCTTATAAGGATGCCAGTTGAATAGGATTAGAGCCCACGCTAATGGCCTCATTTTAACCAAATCATCTCTTAAAAGGCCCTACCTTCAAGTGCAGTCACATTCTGATGTACTAAAGGTTAGGGCTTCAATATATGAAATGTGAGGGGACACATGTCAGCCCATAACACCCTCCCTCACTCTGCTCCAGCCAAACAGGCCTTCTGTATGTTCTCGCAACACACTCTTGTCTTTGCACTGACTATTCCTTGTCTCTCGCACGCTGCAAAATACATGGTGTCTGATAACTTTGAGGTTGCTCTCCGTAACCGAATTGACATGTCAACCCTTGGCTAGAACACTTTTTTTGTAAGATTCGTCCTGAATTTCTCTTGATCTCCTTGCTTCCCATTCTTTTTCCATTTGTTCCCTTTTGCCTCCTTAAGTTTTCACTTCAATGCCTTCACAGGAAACGCCTTTACACTTTGGCTTCCCTTGTTTCATTCAACCCATCGGGTTACGACTTTTATCTTCTCTTCTGGCATGGCCGCCGTGTTAGAAGTGCTGATTCATTCATGCAAAAAAAGCTGAATTGCTGAATACCAGGTGATGTGTCTATCACTGTTAGAATCTAGGGATACCCAGGAAAACATCAAGATTGGAATTAATTAGGATTAGTACAGTATCTACTTCTAGAATACAGTATAGCAAGTACACAGGGCACTCTCAGAGCCCAGAGAAGCGACACTAAAATGAAGAGGCCTCAGGAAGTCTTCTAGAAAGAAACAGTGATAGGGCTGAAGTTTGAAGAATAGACAATTGTTTATTCTGGCTTATCACGGGGAAAGGCATTTTCTAGACTGTGTTCACATCACGTGTGAAAGTGTAGAAGTATGAAACGGCATGACATAGAACAAAGGACATGCTGCCG